AGTAGGCATGGATAACAAACATTTTATGGAGAATTTTGCTTGGAAACTAAATTGTTGACAATTTAGTTAAACTAAATTTCGTTTGGATTTTACTAAAATGTTAACAGTTGTTAGGGAGATGGGTGATTAACCAGTTTTTTCCTCTTTAAACTTTTCTCTATTTCCTATAATGATTATATTCTAGTTTCCTCCCTCTTTCTTCCCTTACCATCCTGGATGCTGGGCACATTATAGCTTGATACTCATGAATGGAGTGAATGTGGGAACTGACCCCAGATTGTAGAGTCTCCCATAGAACAGTGTTTTTGTCTGTGATTAGAAGCGTAACCTAGACGCACCTGGGTGGCTCAACTGAGTGGTCGACTCCTGATTTCAGCTCAGGTCCTGATCCTAGGGTCATGGGATAGAGCCCTGAGTTGGGCTCCATGCAGAGCGTGTAGCCTGCTTAAGATCCTCTCTCAGTGCGCCTGGGTGGCTCAGTAGGTTCAGTGTTTTAACTCTTGATTTAGGCTCACAACATAATCTCACGGTTCATGAGATTGAGCCCCGTGTTGGGCTCTGTACTGATGGCATGGAGCTTCCTTGGGATTCTCTCTCCCCCTCTCTCCCTCTGCCCCTCTCCCTGGATTGTGCTTGTTCTCTCTAAAAAAAAAAAAAAAAAGCATACCCTCTATCATGATGAGCACTAGTTGTTGTCATTGAATTCTCCTGAAACCAATATTGCACAGTATGTTAACTAACTAGAGTTTAAATAAAATTTTGAAAAAAGAAAAAGCATACTCTGTATCTGGGGAAACCACAGCAGAGTAAATGAAGTTCTTTAGCTGTCTACTCACAGAATTTACACACTTAATGTTTAGCTACCAGGGAAGGAGGCGCTCATCCACAGACGCCAGGACTCAGGGTCTTCAGGCCCAGGAGCCCGTGTGGCCTGTGGCCCAGCTGGCCGGGCCCAGGATGGAAACACACAGCCAAAGGCTTTCTCTGGCAGCTTTGCTCTCTCACCTTAACCCATCTCACCAGTGCGAGGCTCTGGCAAACGGTAGCAACTCATTTAGAAGTTCCATTTCTATAAATTAAATAAAAACACAATTAAAATGTAGTAGGTGCTAAAACTTGGTTTTGAACTTTTATTAAAAAAATATATTTGCAAACATATAAAATTTAGGATGAAAAATGCTCATTTGAAAACATGTAATAACTTAATATTTGCAAACATACACAGATGGTATAAAATCCATACCATTAAAAATGTTAATGATGAAGTATTGCGCTCATGGAACAAAATCTTGCTGTAATTCCAGAGCTTCTCACCCCCACGCCTCAGGGAGCAGAGAATCTGGTACACGGAAAGTCATGAGAGCCACATGGCCAAAGCAGTAATACAGAATAAAAAACCATTTAGAACACATATTTTAAAAACACATTTCTTAAGGATCACACAGGTAAAAGGGAAACACGCTTCTGCATTTTCCCCAAAGTGAACGATATTGCATCTTAGCATTTCAAATGATGTCAAATACAAAACCGAGCGAAACATTGCACACATCTCTCCTGCTGAATTTGCTGGAAAACAGGCTCCTTGAGGCCCCGGCCCACTCAGGGAAATGTTCTCAGGCACAGCTTTTAAAAAGCCCGTGCAAGGTGCTTTACTTGGTTTAGGTCTTAACATTTTATACACCTGAAAACACAGGGCACTCTTGGTTCCAGAAGGTACTCTGAACACAACCGAAGAAAACCAAAGCTAGGTAAGAAAGAAACGTGTGCTCAGCAGCAAATATGCAGCAAGAATGCGGGACACCTGTCCCCGTGAATCCTTGTCCTCACTCACGTGGACCAGACGCCCCGTGCCTGTGCCCCCTCATTCCTGTTTCTACCTTTTGCCCAGTTACTGTGTGATGGCTGATTTTGTTTTTTAAGCAGTTAGGCACCTTCAATTTCATGTTGCATTATTAGTAATACAATGGCAGTTATGGCCTCTTCTACCCAAATGAGAAAACTTCAAGCTACATTCTTGGGGGGGTGGGGGGAAGAATAAAGCTGCATGGTTTAAACATATTTACCTAGTACAGGATTTGATAGGGTTTATAGTTCTTACAAGGAAACACAGGCAGGAAAAGAACAGATGCTTGACATGCAAAATTGGGCCGGACACATTCTAAGCAAGGTGTGTGCAGCCTTCAGCAGAGAAGGACCCAAGTCAACTTGGGCTCTTTGCAAGACACCACTCTGTGAAGGCTGCTGAAAAGCCTTGGAAGGTGAGCTGTGGACACTCCCACGTAGACAGTATGAGAGGCGTCTCCTGACACTGACAGTCACTTGGAAACTTAGGATTCAAAGTCCCACCTTAGGAACTCTGGAGAGACGCACGATGAGGAGGGGCTTCTGCCTTAAAGGAACAAGGCTGTCTGGGAGGTGCAGGAGTCCATTCAGGACACCACGTGACTACAACACAAGAGCAGGGCCACCCACTGGCCTGGGGCAGGGGGGTGGGGGTGGGGGGGGTGGGGGGTGGCGCACAGATGGACATGGTGGCCTAAATGCAGAACTAGCAAGAAGCATCTGTGTTTTGATGTCCATTCTGATTGAACTAAGGTTTGAAGTGAAGGTTCCAGTGAAGTCACCGCAGCAACGTAAACATGCAACCTAAGCCAGCATGAGGTTCTGGATAGTAAGTGTGACCGAGGAGTAAGGCAACTGAGCTGTGACTTCCGGGCCAGGGTCATACAACTGCGACTGTTCAGGCTTAGCCTGACTTTTCTGGGGACTCATTCTGGCCTAAACTTCCTGGTAATCGTGACAGTGAACTTCTGGCTTCTGAATTTTAAGTTAATCATACATGAATCTTAGAGTTGAAACAGGCTTACCCTTTTCAGGTCTCCATGACTTGGGCACTTAAAAGTTTATTTTCCCACTAAAGAAACCTTATCATAGATTCTCTTTTCTGTCTAACATATTCCTTGCTTGGAATTAAAGGGTGAACATTAACAGATCTGACTGCAGACCCTCTTTAAGATAGTTGCTCTTAACTCCCACATAATATTATATACATACTCAAGGCATTTCAAGTCAAATGCCTATCACAACAAGAATCCCTTGATTCTTCCACGTGCCAAAGCCCACTGAAGCTACACTGGGGGTGTAGTCAAACCTCTTCTCTGAGAAAACCTGTTTCTGGAGTCACATGGGCTCCCCCAACACCATCTCCTGCTGTAACACGCTGTATCTTACTTCGATGTTCTCCTTCCTGGGTGACGTACGAGCAATTCATTTTTGGTTGCTGAGTTTACACACTACTTTTGAAAACAAACTATTCCCAATGGAGTATGAGAATGTATGAGCTTCCCTGACTTTTGAACAATTCACAAATAACCAGGTAGACAGGAAGAGAAGACACTAAGTTGACAAGCAGAAAAGTTGCCCAGGAAGCATGTTTAGACCAACAAAAGCCAATTAAAGTATTCTTTATGCTAAAAAAGAACTAAGACCAAACTAAAACAAGTATGTCATTCACAAGTAGTTTTCTAAAATCTCAGCTAGGAAAAAAAAAAAATCTATGGATTTATGATTGAGTTACCATTAAAGCTTAAATGATTGTTCCGAGGAACCATCACATCCATCAGCATTATTCATAGCTAATCCTTATGCTAGCTGGTTGAGCCAATTGGGTTTTTACCCCATCATTAAATAGTGCTCAGAAAAGTAAGCAGTGCATCTTAATTGGTTAAATACTACAAAATGATCTGTATCATAGAAACGAAGACACTTTCATTCAAAGAGTATCTTAAAATTACTATTGCTGAAATAAATCAAAATCTACATTAAAATATTACTAATCACCATTACATGCCATAAAAGAATAAATATAAATCATGGCAGGTCAATAGCAGCATAACAAAGCATCTTTACACATCTTCACACTTTGGGCTGCACAAGTACTCACAGCCTAGGAATACATTGGCAAAGTTCTGAATTTCACACTTTGTTTTTACCTCCATATTCTACAATAAAGTAAGGGCAGTGTGAATAAAAGCTCCCTTTTCTGCATAGCTTTAAAACTACTCTCAGTAGACTCGAGGAATGGAACCAGAATGGCTTTGTCAGATTGGTCCACTGGTCCTTTTGTCAAAGTGTTAAGGAAAACAATCAACAATGATTTCTCCGTTTAGACAGAAAAGGAAAATAAGGCTACACTTCACACAAAACTTAACACTGTCCAAACCACTCAAGAGTTTAACATAAAGTGAAGGTTTCTGATCGCGTTTGGTCTCTACCAGCCCCAGCCTTTGCTTCCAAGGTGTGACATGCTACTCCCATATTGTCACAGGGCCTGGCGGGGCCCTCTTCTCATGGTATCACTGCTCTGGGAGCCGCTGCATGGCAGCACGGGGACACTTAGAAACAAAGCACAACTGAGAAATTTCAGAACTTTTAAGGCCCAGATGGGGCATTCATATAAAATATACTTCACTTGGAACAAATCAGTCTTAATTCGCCAACTTAAACTCTGATCCTGAAAACTCAAAGCTACTTTGCACAGAGCAGACTTCTGCTCTTTTCAGAACTTGACTATGAGCCTAAGACTCGAGTTTCTACGGTGGGGAGGAGCAGGAGAAGGGGCGCGGCTGGGCTGAATTCTGCTGCAAGGCTGGTGACCCCTCCTAAGACCTTGAAAGTGAAAGCAAGCTGAAAATCAGACTCCTAATTTCACATCCTTTCTTAGAGCTGATGAAAACACCCACACAACTTTAACACAATGGTCTTTTTTTTTGTTTTTGTTTTTTTTTTTGTCAAAACAAAGGTCTGCTGGTGATGCTTCACAGTGAAACCTCCATTATCACTGAGAACGTCACTTGGAAAACATTCTTAAGGAATGAGTCTCTTTCTCATAGGCTCAATTTCAGGATTCTCACAACTTAAAGTTCTGTTTAGAAGTTTCCATGACGAGGCCTATTTGTTTCTGAGGTCGACATTCTGCCTTCGGATTTATTCTGCTCCAGTCATAAGTTGTGGTTGTCTTTGTTCTTGGTCAGAACCTGCAAGTAGACTTCGTGAAGTGTACTGAGGAAGCTGGAATCATTCTGGAAGAGATGGTAATGTTTCATTTACCTCAGTAGAACTTACTTCCTTGACAAAAGTTTAGGAAAAAACCTGTATAATGCTTTGTAGAACTAATCACCCAAAGAATCTCACCACCCAGAGACAAGTGCAAACCATACTTCGAAATTCACTCAGTCACTTTTCCATTAGGAGTGTATGTTCAGAAAGAGAGAAACATTACTCCTGGCTAGGCTTGAATTTACTTTATGAACGGATTTTCTAAGAAGAACTTACATATTTTTTTTTTAATTAAAGAATGAAAGTTTAAAGACTCCATTGATGTCCTACATACCTTTATTAGATGTATTAATGTATCCTGGAGCTGAGACTTGCTGAGAATAATGGAAGGCTTTCTCTGATTTTCTGATGTTCCAACAGTCAGGGGAGAGGGGGCGCCTGTTTTCCTCTCAAGGTCTGCGGACCTTGTAACTGTCTGCTGGAAAACACTTGGCGACAGCAGGACTGAGGACACTGCCATGGTTGTTGCAGTGACCAGCGTGGGGCCTGCGACCTGCAGGGGAGCAATGGTCATGAACAAAGCTTGTTAAAGGACGAAGGGCCTGTTTATTGGGATGTCAAGTCTGATCATCATAGAAAGGAAATAGGACCACAGCCAGATATGAACAGTAAGAACAATCCTATGGTAATTAAAAATGTAAAGTTTTATATGGGGAGCACAGGAATGATTGGAAGAGGGCAAGAGAGAACTTTCTGGGGTGATGGAAATGTTACATGTCTTGACTGGGTGGTTACCCAAGGAATATATGTGTGTTAAAACTCATAAAACACCTGCACTTTATCTGTATTTTACTTCAAAAAAAAAAAAAATGGGGGGGGGGGGTATAAAAAAATCCAGTTATATGAAGCATTAGTTTCTTCTGTAGTGTTTAATACATTTATTATACCACTACAGGTATCAAAGATACACCCTCTTGGGGCACTTGGGTGGCTCAGTTGGTTAAGCATCCAACTTCAGCTCAGGTCATGATCTCACAGTTTGTGGGTTTGAGCCCTGTGTCGGGCTCTGTGCTGACAGCTCAGAGCCTGGATCCTGTTTCAGATTCTGTGTCTCCCTCTCTCTCTGCCCCTCCCCTGCTCACAGTCTGTCTTGCTCTCTCTCAAAAATAAATAAAAACCTTAAAAAAATTAAAAAACAAAGACACAACCTCTTACAAATAAAATGAACATCTACCCCCATTTAGATGTGCTTCTATGCTAACGATGGCTAACCATCAGAATACACTAAGCCAGTAATAATCAGCATTTTTAATAATTCCCACATTTGATACAATCAGCAGACATCTACATTCCTTTCTTCTGTCACCCCTCCCATTCATAAACTGCCACAGTTTGGTGCCACACCAGGCTGAGCGCCCCTGCTGATCCCCACGCAGCAGGATGAGATATAGGGAAGACCAGTTCATACCACCAGTCAGGAGCTGGCTGCAGTTGAAGTTCTAAGGCTTGAGGAGGGTGCAAAGGCTCAAAGGCAAATGGGAACATAGAAGTTTAGGAACTGAAAAAAATAAGTGTGCACTTTGAGGTTGGTAGGTAATGGAGGGTGGGGAAAACATTTAAAAAGTGAAGCAGGAGAGAACAAGCAGAGGACAGAGTGCACAGGCCCGGGAGGCGCTGTCGTTATAGCTGCGGGAAGCAATGAGCGCCCAGAGCACAACAGCGACTCGTAACCAGGGCATCACAGCTCTTCCGGGGCAAAGAGCACCTCCTCCTCACGGAAACCAGGCTGACGTGCACTCAGCTGACACACACAGAGCGCCCAGCCCAGCTGGTGGCTGATCCTGCCCTGCGTACGGTCAGGGAAGACATCAGTACAGAGATGGTGACTGGAGGCCCAGGGTGACTGGGTGACTGGAAGCCCACAGGGGCCGTGGTGATGGACTCGGCTGGGGTGGCAGGGGAACCTGGCCTAGGAGGGGCATCTAAGAGGGCTCTAGGCTTGAAAGGTACAACGTTCTATGGCACACACAGCAGAAGAACTTAAATATAATGTGTTCTTCAGAGAAAGGGGGTCCTTACCGGGATGGCACTGGGTAACACCTTAGGCTGGACAAAGACTTCAGGATCCTGGTTTTGCTGCATAGACTGCAATGTTTAAAAAGAAAAGATGAACAGACCTAACAAGTTTCCATGAAGATTTCCCAGCGACCGGGGATAAACCCACATTAGCAATAAGGAATAGTTCAGACATTAACTAGCTCCTAGATTCCTGAGGGAAGAGGCTGATAGCAACATTTAACAACGTAACCAATGTGTCATCTGTGAGGCCAGGGCTCTGGGACAGCCTCCAAACCGCTCGGGTTCCCTAACAGAGGGGCTGTGTGCAGAGCCATCAAGAGGTCTCTAAGGAAAGCAGAAACCTGTATCTAAGAGCTGGGGACAGCCCAAGCACATTTTTGCTGTTGAGTCTGTAGAGACGCCATGTTCTGGCAGCACGAGACCTTGCTAAGGCCGTGTGGACTCTGGACAGGGCGGCACTAAACAGTCCTCATGCAGAGTCACCTTCCTTCCATGTGCTTGCTACATTTTGTCCTCCTTCACTGGGAGATAAAGAACTTCTTGCTGTAGAGCAAATGCATTAGAATTCAGTGAAGCCCCAGGCCTTAAATGAAATGGAAATGGAAATATACACGTATCTAAGTGTCCCCTGTGAGGAGGCTCACTGAAGAGCTGGGAGCTGTCCCCAAGGCCAAAACATGGAGGGGGCAGAACAGTGGTGGCACGGGTGTGTCAGGGGGTGACACCAATCTGTTATAACATTCTCTCTGCTTATACTACAGAGAACCTCAACAGAAACGGCCCAAAATGAAAATTGAACAATATAACCAAGATACTGAACTCCCTTTCTTTCTGTGCAAGATTTTAAAGGACTGGAACAGAACAGTCCACTAACTAAGAAATCACACATGATTATTATGATGGGCTCGTCTGTGTAATACTATTCGGTATGATGTTAAGACTGTGGATTCTTATCAAAGGGCACAGGACTGAAGTTTTGGGAGGCAAGCAACACTGCTCTCAAGCAGAAGACTCTGCCCCTCTTGAGAAGCTGTGTGATCTCGTACGCATCACCGCAGTTGGAGCTGACTCTCATCTGCACACTCACCAGCCTCATCCCTCTCTGAGTGGCAAGCCTCTTCTTCATGCCCCACCCCCAATCGACCACCAGGCCCCACTGCCCACACCTGTTAACAAACCTGCTGGTCCACACTCTCGAAGTCAGGCCGCACCAGTTCAAGCCTGGGTAACTGTCTGGCCTCCTTCGGGTGGCCCTACTTCCAGCTTCTCCTTTCCCAGCTCACCACCTCCCCTTAAAGCCCTAGAAAGGCCCCCTGGGGCTGTGAGAACAAGCCTCGGACTGCTTCACAGTTTACAAAGTCCTGCTCCTCAGCCAGTACCTACGCCCCCAAGGTCCTCCCAGAGGAGGCCTGGCCACACTACAGGTCTTTTAAGTTCAGCAAATGCCTCTCATCTCCAGGCCTCTGCACACACTATTTTCCTGACCTCAAACACTTTCTCTACGTCTAGGAAAGAGCTGACTAACTCCTACTGAGTCTTCAGATCTCAGCTGAATATGAGCTTCATTGGGAAGTTTTACTTGATCCCGTATCTCCAAATCTGGGATGTGATTATGGCCCGAGGTGGGCACTCAGTGAGTACCAAGGGAGTTGGGGATGAGACAACGCTGGGGATAATCTGGATCTATGGTCCTGAGTCAAATGCAGACTCCCGGAATTGTCAGGCAGAAACAAACAAAACCCCCTACAACGCATGCCCTGACAGGAAAATACCGATATTGTTTTTTAGCTTGTATCAGTTGAGATATCTGGGAAAGTGGAACTGAGTCACAACACCGTGTACCAATGGTCTAGCTGTTCATTACTGGGCTTTCCACCTCCTGTCTTCCTGTCCTGGGTGTACGGAACAGTCGTCTCTTTGAAGCGACTGTCTCATGGGCGTCAACATCAAGGCCTCTGCAGCCCCATCCTACCCAGTTAGAGCCCCCCACCCTCCTGCCGGTACCTGAAGGGGAGCAAGCACCATGTTGCTGAGGGATGCTGAGGCTCGCGCGGCTGCAGTCTTAGGGGGAGGCTCTATGAAGCTCTCAGGTGTGGCCAGCTGGCCGGCTGCTGAACAAAAGCCGGATGTCATGGCACTTTTCCCAAGTGACTGCGTCTGTATTTGGTCATGCTGTGGGGTCAACCTGAGTTTCTGGAGAAGATCAACACTTGGGAGCGAGGTACCAGCTGTGTTTGTCACACTCAGTGGGGCCCTGAAGGGGCTCTGGGTGGCAGTCAGATTGGCGTGGCTCAGCTCAGGGACTGGCTGGCTCAGGAGTGGAGACCTCTGTCTCGGTGTGGTCTTCACCGCCTGTATCATGGTGGTGTTTCGGGGTAAGCTGGGGGGAACCTGTGCCGTAGGAGCTTCTGCTGGTAGAGTCGGACTGAGCACAGGGCGCAACGGGACGGCATAGACGGGGGCCTGTTTTTCACTGGACTGTGTGATGGAGGCGGGAGTGATCAGCACCGGGGTGGGGACTTCAGGTTGGACTGAGTGGTGGGAGGCAGGATGGACACCCAGGTTGTCCGACTGAGGGGCTCCTCCTGACTGCTCAAAGGGAAATGGTAGGAATGAGCTGGGCTCTTTCTGGGAGGCATCTCCTGGCAGCTTCTCCACTTCTTCTGAATCCAGACCCACAACACTTGGCTGTTCTTTTGGCAAAGAGGTTCCAAATAATTCTTCCACTGTCAGGTGTTTGTGTCCAGATGGAGCAGACTGAAAAACAAATCAAACTGCCCAATGAAAGAAATCTCTTGCAAACCAGTGTAACCAGACTTCTTTCCCATTAACCAAAACATTTTGCAGAAGCAACGATAGATGGAGTCTGAAAATAAGGAAATGGAACAAACTGAAGATGTGCTAGGGACTAAGGCCAAAATGCATCTTGTCTCCCCAAGCTGGTGGGCAGAAATCTGCATTCGTACTAAGATCCAAGTTTTAGGGACTCCCAGGATAGTGTTAGAAATCACCTTGTTTTCTTGGCAAAGGGATATAACGTAAAGGAGAAATATTACAAATAGTGCTTGGTTGCCCTGTACCAGTAACACAAGCAAGGAAATAATACTCAAGAGGACAGAGGGACCAAATGCTGAGTAAGTAATCCTATCTTTATTTTCATAGTTCTTGATAAAAAGCTAGGCACTGCACCTTGAGGACTAGGTCTTAAGTACCAGAAAATAAACTGAACTGTTTTTTAAAATAGCAGGCCTTTCCTCCTTTCTACTACAAGATCACAGATTCCTTCAGAAGAAGCAGACATGTAGGTCTGAGAATGTTCACTTTGCATCTGCTGTAGTGGTCTGACTTACTGATACTACTGCAATGATGTGGAGGGGGAATATTTATGCTTTCCACTCCTGAGCTTTCCTGCACCTTCCCTTCATGTGCTATGGTCATATTCATTTACCCTTTATTTTCAGAATGCCTGCAGGGTGCCAGGACCTGCGCTGACCTGTGCCCCCAGGACACAGTAGGGAGGAACAAAAAAAGTCTGACCCTCACAGGGCTTGTGTTCCAGTGGGGAACTAACCTAAGTACTTTGAAAACACATACAGCCTCGACATATGGTTTTATTCCATAAGCGTGTACACTACTTAGCTGCTCAGATATATATTCACGTGGAAAAAGACGGTTCGCTGAAACACACGGTTTTCAGTTCCTCAGAAGGCTGATAAAGGCCCGACACTACACTGCCCCTGAAGCAGAAGGATGAGTGCACTATGGTGTGACCACATTTCTACAGGAAAAAAGCACTGGTTTTCCCAAGCAAGTGTTTGCTGCATCTGTGTGACAAGTAGTTACAGGTTTCCCTGCTATCTGAAGGGGGAGCGTTCCTGGGAAATGTTTCTAAGCCAAAATGGCAGAAAGTGAAGAAGCAATTACCATTGATTCATATGGAAAAATTCTGAGTATCTCTGGGTCCCCAAAATAACCCATTTTCAGCTTTTCTTTACAAAATTTTTAATGTTTATTTATATTTGAGAGAAAGAGACAGAGAGAGAGAGAGACAGAACATAAGCAGGGGAGGATCAGAGTGGGAGACACAGAATCTGAAGCACGTTCCAGGCTCTGAGCTGTCAGCACAGAGCCTGCCGTGGGGCTCGAACCCATGAATGGTTGAGATCATGACCTGAGCTGAAGTTGGACGCTTAACCAACTGAGCCGCCCAGGCGCCCCTCTCTTCAGCTTTTCTGATACCTTAGAACACATCTTGCTAACAGGTGCTCACAGACCCAGGTCAAGGCTGTGGCGGCCTGAGGCTGGGGTGCTGAGTGTGGTTCCTGGGGAAGGGGCTGGGCAGGGCTGCTCTCTGTCCAGGGTGCCCGCTGCATCAGTAGCTCAAATGTCCAATGTTATTTCACTTTTTATCTCTTTCCACACAAGCAAAAACTGTCTTTGGATTTCTTTCGGTTGGCAAAACAGTTACCGATGTGGGTCTTTCCTAAAAGCAAAAGTGGCTTAATGTGAACTTTTGAAAAGGGGACGGTGGGGACACCTGTATCGGGTTTAGCAGGTGCCCAGGACACTGTGCTGAGATGCATGGGGTGGGGAAGAGAGGGACTTACTGGCAGCAGGTTCTTAGGGGAGGGGTTGAGGCTCCCTCTGCTGTGGAGGGAACCGGGGAAAGGAGGCCAGTACCCAGGGGGTGTGCAGGGTGGCTCACTTGTGAGGGGTGGATGGAAAGGGAGTGCCACTGGGGTGTCTTATCACCTGCTGGGTGAGAGAATGGAGGTGGGGCAAAGGAACAGTTGTGGAGAAGAGGCAGAAACTTCCTCTAGTTGTAGAAAATTGTGATTCCTGGGGCACCTGGGTGGCTCAGTCGGTTAAGCGTCCGACTTCGGCTCAGGTCACGATCTCGCGGTCCGCGAGTTCGAGCCCCGCGTCGGGCTCTGGGCTGATGGCTCAGATCCTGGAGCCTGCTTCCGATTCTGTGTTTCCCTCTCTCTCTGCCCCTCCCCCGTTCATGCTGTGTCTCTCTCTGTCTCAAAAATAAATAAACGTTAAATAAAAAAAATTAAAAAAAAGAAAATTGTAATTCCATACCGAATCATTTCTTCTTAGAAAATATCCAGTAAAGAGAATTGATTCAGGCCCCCCCCCCGCCCCCCCATTAATGCTGTAGTCACAACACTTCTTGTACTTTAAGGAATTTTCCAGATTCAGGATCTTACTTCAAATACAATGTAGCACTAACATCTATTATAAACTGTGGAGGTAAAAAAAAAAAAAATGCAAAAGATTGTATACGGTTTAATTTCCTTATGTTTTTACTTCTGAAAAAGTTGCAGAGTTTAGGATCCGAAATCAAAGACACCCAGATTTAATTCCCAGCTTAGCTGGGAAAATTATAGTCTATTTAGTTACCTCATCTGAAAAATGGGGGCAATTATGGCAATTACTTCTCACAGAGCTGATGTGAAAGTTAATTTCTCAATATGATACCTGGTGCCCAACAAGCATTCGATAAATGGAAGTTGGCTATTATCATTATATGAACACCAGACAGTCTTACTAGCAATCATAATAAACCTGTGTTTATATATGTTTTAAGAAACATCAAATACTATGTTAGAATATTAAAAATTCATCAAATCCTTCTGGAATATCATACCCCGTGATGCAAAATAACACTACCACCTGATGGGCTATCAAAATCTGTCATGCCCTGATGCAATGACTCATTAAAGACACAGTTGTTGGGGCTCCTGGGTGGCTCAGTCAGTTAAGCGTCTGACTTCGGCTCAGGTCATGATCTCACAGTTCATGAGTTCAAGCCCAGCAATCAGGCTCTGTGCTAACAGCTCAGAGCCTGGAGCCTGTTTAGGATTCTGTGTCTCCTTCTCTCTCTGCCCCTCCCTGCTTGTGCTCTGTCTGTCTGTCTGTCTCTCTCTCTCTCTCTCAAAAATAAACATTAAATATAAAAAAAAGACATAGTTGTTTATTTAAAACTCACTGGTATCATTTCAGATCCATTCAAGGTAATTCAAAAACAGACAGCAAATTCCCATTTGGGACACACTTCTCGTCCTCTCTGTCCAGGCCACATAACTAGTAGCAGGGGTGCATAGGTTCCATTTTCCCAGATGGGCACTAGGATTGATTCACTTTTAGATCTCTGGCATCATAAATGTCCACTGATGAGCACAGACATAATTCCACTCCTCCCCACCGATTTCTGACAGTGATGGCAAAATATACATAACCAAAGTTACCATTTTAGCCATATTTAAGTGTAAAACTCAGCAGCATTCAGTACATTCACAATGCTGTATAACTACCACCATTATCTACTTCCTCACTCACAGCCCCTGATAATCTCTATTCTACTTTCTGTTCCTATGAATTTGCCTACTGTACGTACCTCGTTTAAGTGCAATCATATACTTGGCCTTTTGTGACTGGCTTACTTCGCTCTTGGCACAGTGTCCCCAAAATTCATCTATGCTGTACCATGTGTCAGAATTTCCTTCCTTTTAAAAACGCTGACAAATACTCCATTTGTATGCATATACCACATCTTGTCTACCCATTCATCTGAGCATTGACACTTGGGCTGTTTTCACCTTTTGGCTATTGTGAATAATGCTGCTACAAACACTGGTGTAAAGTATGTTTAATCCTTGTTTTCAATTCTTTTGGGTATACACCCAGGAATAGAATTGAGGACCTTCCAAACTGTTTTCCAAAGCTGTTGCACCATTTTATATTTCTACCAATGATGCAAAATGGTTCTAACTTCTCCACGTTCTTGCCAACACATCGGCCATTTGTAGATTTGAAAAAATGACTATGTAAGTCATTTGCCCATTTTTGAGTTGGGTTAATTCTCTTTTTATACACATTACGTTTAGAACAAAATGGTCAAGACTGCTTGGCAAAAAGTACTGGAAAACTACACTAATTTTTATTCATTAATACAAATTATGTCAATCTTAACCACCACATCCTGTTTTATATGTATGTATATACACACAAAACAACGTGTGGATGTACATACTTTGAGAAATACAGACCACATTGGGGCTATCCTACTTTGCAAAAACTTGAGTCTTTCCCAGGTAAGAATACAAATATTTTACATTATAAGAAAAGGAGCAATCAAACAACACGACATAGAGATAACTCAACATGAAATACACCTTTGGCTTCAAAAATGGCATGACTCAGGTAGCAATTTTTACCTGTCTAGTGGAACATAAATGGACTTTTGAACAATTAAAATTACCTGCATGTACATTTTGAATGTTTTTACACTTATGCTTAAAAAAAAAAAAGTATTTCTAACAGTTTAAAATTGACTTCACATTAAAAAATGAAACTGGGGCACCTGGGTGGCTCAGTTGGAGGAGTGTCCAACTTAGGCTCAGATCATGATCTTGCTGCTCATGAGTTCAAGCCCTGTGTCGGGCTCTGTGCTGACAGCTCAGAGCCTGGGGTCTGCTCTCTCTCTGCTCTTCCCCCACTTGCACTCTCTCTCAAAAATAAATAAACATTAAAAAAAAAAATTAAAAAAAAAAAAGAAACCATATTGGAGAGCCCTGAACCCTGATTGCAAAAGTAGCAGAAAGCTTCGAGATTTCTCCATGCAGCCTCCCTACAACTTCTGCCAGGTCAGAAACATTCTCAGACTGTCTCTAGAATAGGATGTGCGGTAATTCATAGGGTTTCAGAGGAATCTCTGTAAGAAGAGGTAAACGAAGTTACGACAGCAGGAA